TTTTTTCTTCAAAAATTTTTTTAAAATCTAACAATTTTTTTTTTTTTTTTTTTTTTTGTACACAAGCAGACGTTTGTGTGTCGAGAAAAATAATTGTCGCAATATTTCGTCGGCTGTTTTGATTTAGGTATAGGCATTTAATTATTACTATCGATAAAATACAGCACAGAAAAAAATTACGCGACGGATGCTATCAGACCCAGATATTGACGGTTTCTGTGTTATCATTGCGAGCATGGTATCAATATAGTATCAGACGGACTTTCGACGAAACCAATTTCCTCGAAGCCGTACCAGATGCCAGTAGAGTCTACGCGTGCTTCGTGCTGCTCTCTGCAGGAACTTGCGCTAGCATTATTCAATAAAAGATCCTTCCATTATCGAGTTTGATTTTTATACATTATAGCCCATAAAATTATAAAACTATTCGCAAAAAAATATATAAACATATATATATGTATATACATATATAAAATGCTCAGTTTTCCCAAACTTGCTTTGAATAATATTAAAAACTTGTCTTTAACGTAAATTCCAAAACACCAAATAATTAATTTTAAATAATAAAAAATTTAATAGCGATTTTAATTATAATTTTTTTAAGTAAAATAAGAAAACATTTTAATTTAAAACTTAATTATCAAGCTACTTTTAACATTGAAAAGAAATAATTAAAAAATGTATTCTTGATCAAGAGATCCGTTAAGTTAAATAAAAGAGTTGTCTTTGTTAAAAAATCAATAAATGAAAGAAAGTGCGATAATAAGTATGAGACATTCTATATAAATAGTGCAAACATCAATAAAATGCATGCTTAAAGCGATATATATTTTTCCTCCTTTCCGGTTGCCAAAATAATATATAACGATAAGTTAATCAGTCTTTGATAATCTTATTAAAAGTACTTCAAAAATCAGTCGATCATTTTTAACAGATTTTGATCACATTTGCAACATAAATAAATCTAATAAAACGTATCGTTCGCCAACGCTCATAGCTGCAACACCATCGATAAAACGATAAGTCACGCCGTTCCGTGATAAGATCGACATACCTCTATCGTTATCACACTATACGCATTTATAAGAGAATGGATTGGTAATTTAAACATATGTGCTCTCTCTTGTATGCGACTCTCTCTCTCTCTCTTTTTCTATTGTATGCGACCTATGAGATCTTTGCATGCATAAATAACTTGGTGCGGCTTAATTTACCCCGAATAATGTATTCCTAAAATAAAAATACTTTCTGTTTCTATTGCGTCGATTATACTTGAAGCAAAACACAATAACACAGCATATCAAGACGTATAATCAAACTGAATATAATATTTTTTACATCGAGATAATGTAATTTGTAGAATGATTCGGCATTTCGTTTTGATAATTCAAACAGCCGGAAGAGAACTATATTTACGAAGGTATAAGAAAAGAATTCCGGACTGTCACAGCACAAAGGTCTGACATGCTTCCCTGGTGCCATTTTGTGCCGTTTTATTTCTGTTCGAGATAGCGGCAGAAAAAGAGCGAGGGAAGAGGAGAACGAGCAGACTCGCTACAAATAGACATTTTAATCTATAAAGTATTGTCTTTCCTGAAATAATAGTGGCTTTTTGTTACTAAATTTGAATCAAATAGTATACTAATTTAGTATTAAATCTTTTTCTCCTTTCTTTTTTTCTTTTATGCTATAAAAACCCATTTCATCTGTAACTTTACAAACTTAATAATTTTCGAGGAATCATAATAATCTAAAAAATAACAATGTATAGAATTATATAAAATAGTTAATAATAGTAATATAATAGTAATTTATAGAGGGATGAGTAATTATATATATAATTACAAATTTTTTCTTACTATTTTCAGACCGAATGTAAATATTGATTTAAGTCTGTCAATCAACTGGCGAGAGATTTTTAGACATTAAACATGTTTGATTTAATCGCAACTTATTCGCCTCGGCGAGGAGTTCCACTGTCGTACTTTGATTGTCTGATTACACGAGTCGCGCTAGATAGCTCAGAACGAAGTTCAAGGGAAACCGGTGAAAGCTATATAGCGATTATCGAATATGAAACTGAAAACTTTTGCGCGATTTTTCCTGAAAGCAAAAATATTTCTTTATGAAATCCATGATAATATTTCAGAATATTTTTAGAGCAGAATTAGTGTCCATTACAATATGCATAATATGGTTATGACTCACTCACTCATTTATTGCATTTTAAATTTCCGTAGCTATAGCGATTTCGATATTTTCGGTAAAAAAGATCGAGAAAACAATGATATTATGTTTGCATGGTCACGAAAATGACGATCATTTCCCTTGGATACTGTTTTGTTGAAATCAAAATTTCGCGTGCTGAATTAAAAGTGTCAATAAAAAAAATGCAAGAGATATAGAATAATTTAAGATCGTTAATATTTTATTAGTACTTTATTGCGACGTTTGTGTATCTGATGGATTGCGACACGTGTTCTTGGAAAGGAAGTATAATCAAATACATTCTTGTCATATTTTATTCCACGCAGGTAGAAATCTCTACATTCTACCTAACATAAGTAGACCTTTAAGATGTCATTAAATCTTTACGTAGCGAGATCTTTAGATCTCTATAAATCCTTGGAGAGTTTCAGACTTCCAAATTTTTCAGTAAAAATTAACATTGGCGTTAAATGATGAGGCTTAGTCACAGATCTTATATGTTTTTAATGATTGATTGTAACGACATTGATAATGAAAAAAATTATCAGAGGGAATGACGACTGTACGCAGAGTATACAGAATATTTGCTAAAATCGTTAGTAGAAATGCCTGCCAGGCGGACTCCAAAGGTCGAGGCACTGGTTGTAAACGCTATACGTAGGCTGCAAGATGTGCAAGGTTCGACGTCGCGGGAAATTAGTAACTATATTTCCCAGGAGTACGATCTTCCTAGGAAGGAGATCAGACGGCAGGTTCAGCTCGCTTTACAACGCGGTTTAGCTTATGGAATCCTGCAGAAGTCCACGAGGTATAAATCCGAATCGGTATATTCCGATTAATCGCCGACATGTCGATTCCATTAACAAAAGCTTTTATTTCACGAGTAATTTTTGTTTAATAAATTACAGCGTATTTGAAGATATTTATATCGTAAATATTTAGTTAAACAAGATCAATTGTGTTGACATCAACACTTGAACGATATTTATTTTGAAACGTTATATATTTTAATTTCTCGAAAATTATGGTCGATGAGGAGAGAGACATTATATCTCGCGTAATATATTGGATGTATTTACGATGTTATTTTTTTTTTTTGCACCACAAAAAGCTCTCTTATCAATGTGCCAATGATAAAGCCGCTGGGTCAAAAATAAAGCGCAATAGATTAAGTCACGATTGCGTGGGAGATACGTGACCCACTTTGTGAAAAAATATTTTGATCGCATTGCACACACGATGCTCTCACTTGATCAAATAACTGCTGTGTCATACGATGGTGTAACGTAATGTACATCGATAATGATTCTTAATGTAGTCATTGAGAGGATTGAATTTAACTTTCAAATATCGAGTAATTAAACAAAAGAGGGATTATATTTAAATTATTTCTCAATACGTATACTCTATAGTCTTTTGCAATAAGAGTTGTAGGACGCTAAATGCGAAAACGATTGTAATAATTCATAATTTATGCAAAAATAATTATTATTATTATATACCAAAATATTTCACTGGAATTCTTAGCGGATATTATTCGTGCAATCGCGACTACCTCGGACAGCTATCATTGGGGGATGGAACGGGTGATGGGGTGATGGAACCTTGTCCATGGCGAAGACGACGATTCGGCAGACGTGGAAGAAGAAGAAGCAGAAGCAGACGAAGAAGAAGACAAAGACGCGGAAAGGTACGCGCCAGACAGAGGAGAGGCAGATCTCGAAGACGTCAAAGGAGGAGACGCAGTAGAAGAAGAAGAAGAAGAAGAGACGGAAGAAGAAGAAGAAGAAACGGAGAAAGAACTAGAACGCGCGCTGATCCCGACGAGATAGAAACCGAGGCGATGGTTTCGGAATCGAAGGAAAATAACGCTTCCAGAGACGATGCCCAGCGCAAAAGCGAGACATCCATATCCGAACTTTCGGGCGAAACGCGTTTGCAAGATTCTCCTCAAGATTCTCCTCAAGATTCTGAGTCTCTGAATACGTCCGGTGATGTCTAGAGATCAAGGGAGGGTAAAGTTTCTTTCAGGGGGTAAATGGAAATATGTGTAAATACCGTAAATCAGTGAACGAATTATTCGTTCGTTTATTCGTATTTTTATGCACGAAATATTTTACACATTTAATTGAATCTCTTACACAGATACATAATTTTTTTTTTTTAAATTACAATATCTAAGACAGCGTCTTATATTGTTGTAACTCTACACAACTTTTGAGACTTCATGTATCTATACATGTTTTTTTACTTTAGTATCTTTTATATTCCATATTAATTATTATAATTGGTTTTTTATAACGTATGTGTAATTCATTCTTAATTCTTCGTACGTTTGTAAATGCAACGCGTTACGAGTAAAAAAGGCGCGATTTTGAGATGAGAGAAAAAGACAGAGGGAGATTAATCGAAATTACGCTGCCCGTCAGACGAAGAAGACGCGGAAAGGTACGCGCCAGACAGAGGAGAGGCAGATCTCGAAGACGCCAAAGGAGGAGACGCAGTAGAAGAAGAAGAAGAAGAAGAAGAGACGGAAGAAGAAGAAGAAGAAACGGAGAAAGAACTAGAACGCGCGCTGATCCCGACGAGATAGAAACCGAGGCGATGGTTTCGGAATCGAAGGAAAATAACGCTTCCAGAGACGATGCCCAGCGCAAAAGCGAGACATCCATATCCGAACTTTCGGGCGAAACGCGTTTGCAAGATTCTCCTCAAGATTCTCCTCAAGATTCTGAGTCTCTGAATACGTCCGGTGATGTCTAGAGATCAAGGGAGGGTAAAGTTTCTTTCAGGGGGTAAATGGAAATATGTGTAAATACCGTAAATCAGTGAACGAATTATTCGTTCGTTTATTCGTATTTTTATGCACGAAATATTTTACACATTTAATTGAATCTCTTACACAGATACATAATTTTTTTTTTTTAAATTACAATATCTAAGACAGCGTCTTATATTGTTGTAACTCTACACAACTTTTGAGACTTCATGTATCTATACATGTTTTTTTACTTTAGTATCTTTTATATTCCATATTAATTATTATAATTGGTTTTTTATAACGTATGTGTAATTCATTCTTAATTCTTCGTACGTTTGTAAATGCAACGCGTTACGAGTAAAAAAGGCGCGATTTTGAGATGAGAGAAAAAGACAGAGGGAGATTAATCGAAATTACGCTGCCCGTCACATGGCATTGAAACTCGAGCCCCCTGAGAAACGACGCGGGGGCCCGCGGCATCTGTCGACAGACCTGAACACGGCCTTGTCGGCTAATGATAGTCGCGCTAATGACGAGTCTGCACACGCATGTACGCGCGTACCGCGTGACTATTTCGCCTAGCAACTCTAGGACTAGACGCAAGATGCATTGCGACGGTGTTTCGCGTTGCCAGCTATGAATGATAGGTGCGTGTCCAACACATGTACACATCTCGAAACGCGGGTGAACGATAGTATTTTAGAGACAGATCCTTTCGACGAAAAATAGATATTTCCTTTTCCGGGGATAGTATTTCTCTGATGTCAATTATTTAAATTCGATTGTGTAAATGATTCTAACACGATAATACGAGTCTTTTCACGCGATCAATAATTTCAAATTACGATCACTTTTTATATTTAATACAAGCAAAATTGAGTGTTTAATCTATATATTTAACTGAGTTTAAATCTTGAAAAAATTGCATATATGTTTGAATTTAAATAATCACCTTATTTATTGCATATCACGTGTTGAACAGGGACAAGACTGTCGAACATTATTATCATATCGAATAATTATGCATATTTCGTTCAAGGGAATTTACGTTCAGTGAACCTGCGTTCAAACAATAGAGCGACCGAAAGATGATAATCTATAAACATTATGTTTATACGCAATATTGGATAATAATTATGTAAAATTAGTAAGAATTAATCTGAAGTTTATTTCCAGCCTGTCGCGCGCGTATACTTACATCGGCTTCAACACGGAAGCTATATCTCGTTACTGAAGCTTCGTAATGCATAATTGTGTGATTTATACAATTATATTTTAATCTTTTCTTCGTATATTATTGACTGATTAACTAACTGACTAACAGACGATGACTAATGTAGAGAGTGGTTCTTGCGATGATGGATTGTTGCATTAATGAATTACGTTTGAATTGATGCAGCTAATGATCTTCTGTTAATGTTGAATATTTTATACAAGAACTATTATTATCACCATTAAATGACAAATGACATTAAATAATAAATCGTTGCGATTCCAACCGGCCGTTCGTTTACATGTGTTATATATGCAAATGTGGCAAGATAGCTACTTAGAAAAATTTCTTGGAAAATAAAACGTGAAAAGGAACGATCGCGTATTATTTTCCTCTGATATAATGGTGATAAAATAGCCTGTTGTAGTGTAACGAGAGAACGTTTTATCACGAGACTAATCATGTATTGTCGTCACACTCCTCGTGCCGAACGTTAATTAAGCATTTACACTTGTGCTTCGACAAGTGGCTGAACAGGCAAGAGGAGGGATCTGAAAACCAGTTAATTTCGGCTGCTTCAATTTTCGGCGCCACGTAAAATGATAAGAATAGTAAACAAGACCTCTGTATATCGCAGCGCCGAAAATTGAAATAATCGATTTACATCGTTGGAAAAGTCGTGTGTCTACTTGTTTGCCGATCTAATGGTACATATCGTCCCTTCGTTTTTCTTCAATTGAAGCGTATCGAGATGAAGACGAATAGAGAGAGAGAGAGAGAGGGAGAGGGAGAGAAAGAAAGAGATAGAGAAAGAGACAGAGAAAGAGACGCGGAAAAAGAGAGAGAAACTCGTCGTCGTTTCGCCGCGAAACCGAAAATACTCATGTCGGCCGGTATGTTGAAACCTGGCATAAGTTTTGGCGGGTTGCCAGGAGAGCGGTACTCGCTTGGAGGCCACGCCAGGCCACGAGCAATCGGCCTCAACAGCCCAAATCTTTAGTTAAAGGTAAAGGAGAATCGCTTCTACAAAAATCGCGAATCGATCGAATAACGTTAACTGCGGGATATAAATATTAATCGATATTTATTAAAGTTGTATTTTTGCAACTAAAACGAGTAATTCAACAAATTCGACGAATACGCTCGCAATAATTTCTTATCGGATACTTCAAAATCGTATCTTCAACGTACAAGTTTACCTGTTGACTATATAAAGCGATAGCCGTGTCTAAATTAATATCCGCTGAAACTGAAACATTACGTTCCGACTGATAAGTTTATTGTTCCGCGAACAATTTCCTAGTGAGATAAATCTTAGCTTACTCACAAGTTCGCGAAAGAATTGGATAATAAAAAAAATAAGAATTTATTGTTTCTTATTTTATTTTATTTACTAAATTCCCCTGTGAAGCATATAGCCGATATGCGTCGCAATATAATCTCTCCGTAAATCTTTTCTACTTTCTCTCTCTCTCTCTCTCTCTCTCTCTCTCTCTCCTTCTGTCAACATTCGAAAAAGTTCGTGGATGAGTACCTCGACGAGAACCGAGCAACACGTGCTAACGAGCAAAATCGCGCGGTGCTAAACGTTTCTTGAGAGAGACTCGCGGATATCGCGAGAGACCTTGAAACAGTTAGAGGTGTACGAGACGCAACGAATAATCTCTCCGATTGGCTTACGACTAATAATAGCGAAATATAAGATATAATTTTGAGGATCATTACCTTTTCGATCATTAAAGCATCGTTAGCGCTTTCAACGTGTCTTTGCGAAAAAATTGATAGATTAAAAAGAATAGACAAGAAGTCGATTTGCGAAAATAAATTCTCGAGATATCAGAGATATCTTGATATATATAACGAGCGTGGTGTTAATAAAATTTTCGTTGCTGTCAATAAAATATTACATGTTTTACTTTTTATTAAAAAATTGAATTAATTACTTTTTTGTTAAAGAATTAAAATAAATAGAATGCAAAGAACAATATACACAAAAAAATCTTACAATTTTTAATTTCGAACGGATTTATAATTTAATAAAATAGATTTTTATCGATTTCTTTTGATTCAACAAGTGTTTACAAGACTCTACTGCGATCGTAGAAATCGTCATCGAAGACGGGAGAAACAAGGTAATTAACCTTTACCTTGGTCTTTGTACGATCTACGAACGACTTAGAACGGCATCGAAAACCAGCACTGTTGGTGAATAGCAGATGTTGGAGCCAACTTAAAACGATCATGTGGCTATCTAATGCACTATAAAGTTGGCACTATTGTGACTATTATGTGATTATTATGTGACTATTATTTAATTCTAAAAATAATGCCGAGATAATCAATTGTTTCTCGTTTTGTCACATTTTTCGACTTTGATAAAACCAAAATAATCTCACAAGGCACGTCGACTAGTCAGTTTTGACACAATGTAAAATTTATAGTCAAACATGAGATAATCTCTTGTACGACAAAATCGTTATCAGATAAGAGCCTTATTCACAAATTATTAAATCCACCTATTTACAGGTGGAAATATATTAAACAGTAATTATATATAAATATAAAAATTGTTTAATATATTTAACTCTCTCTCTCTCTCTGCTTTTAACTCATAAAAATTAAAATCGCTTAAAGATCTAATTGGAAACTTATAATTGTGGAAAAATTTAAAATATATTATTGTATTATTAAAGTTCGCAGTATATATATATATATATGTATGTATGTATATATATGAAGTGATCGCATCGAATCGCGGAAACTAATTGAAATATAGTTGACACAAAGTACAAATTAAATCAATACGATTATTTCCTCAGCTGCGTCGCACGCGAAGCGGCTCCACTATGCCTGGCCATATTCGAGTTGCCGGTACTCTTTTCTGATCTTCCAGTCTATCCATCAAACAGATTGACGTGTGTACGGTCCTGGCACGCCAAAAATAATCGTCCAACATATTGTGAAAGAGCACGAGCCACGGTAGAGATCAGGACGTAATGCCGTTGCTAAGCTTTCGACGCGATTCACCTGCCGATAATTATCCGAAAGCGAGAGATACACTTGTCGAACTATATAAAGTCTCTTCGCATTATCGATCCGTGATTTTTTCAATGGTTGAGGTTAACACAAGCTCGCACTTTCGCATGAGGCTCACTTAAAAAAATCATCCTTGAGATAACGATTTATAACCGCGATATATCATAGTGTTGTCAAATCATTAAAGCCCGTCTGATGGAATGCAGAACTATTTATCCAACCGTTAAGACCATAAGAATAAAAGCGATTAAACATTTATCGTGTGTCTTTTTTTATTTTACATGTGACAAGAGTGTAAAAAAAAAAAAACTATTTCAAGGGAGAAAAATAAAAAACTTTTTTTAACCAGAATTGATTGACGGTTTCTAAAATAAAG